TTCGAGCTCCACCGCTGATGTGATGACAACAGCCACGCGAATAGGACAACAGGTTGTTAGCAAGTTAATTTTGCGATATCGACACAGATATTATTGTGAGAAAAACAAGGCCGTTCGCGGCAGTGGAGGCTGCTGAGGGGAGGATGGCTCATAATAATGGCATCCAACCATGTGTTTGATGTATTTGATACCATTCCAACAATTCCGCTCAAGCCATTAACATGAGCCCGTCCTCCCTAATCAAAGTGCCACCAACCTCCTGTGGTTCGCGGTCGCTATAGTAATTTAAAGAAAGGCAGTCAACGGCCACTATGGGTTCTAAAGAGTTAAGACAAAAAATATACTCCTGGAGATCAGGAGTCCTCTAGCTATTTATGTGGCTGTCATGGCATCCAGCTGGATGTAGAAATCCCAGAGCAGGTGTTACTACCTTACCCAGTTTATAGGCTGCCTCTCTTAAACAAATAATATGAGGAGGTTTGTAGAGATGATTGACAATATTGAGAGGCACCATTCCCTAGCCTCCGGCAATATGTGAAAACAAATTACTATTTTCCTCCCTCTATTTAAGCCTTTTTCTGTGTTGTCTGTGCTTCTGTATGCCCTCCCTGTTGTCATCTGAAATTCCAGTCAGGGGATGTGAGAGCTGTCTCAGAGGAACGCAGCTGTGTCTGTCATCCAATGCATGCACTTTAGGGACCAGTCACATTATATCAGGCCCAAGCCCTGACGGAGACACTGCACAGAGACAGATCTGTTGGGCCACTAGCTTCCACACATGCTGGAGGGCTGGAGAGAGAGGAAGAGGGACCACAATTGCAAAGTATAGTGGATTATCATGGTAATACAATATCATCAATATAAGTAGTTTATTTGCTGTTTTGGGGAATAAACAGACTGACTTGACCTGATGTGAACTGTCTTGAATGAGATTCTGTAAAATAGGCTTGTTTACAAATCTGTTTATGAGGGAAAGGAGTGCAGTCTCAAGGGATTACATTGCCACACAAACAGGAGAGGGATGGAGGAGAAGAGTCTCTGCTCATGTATTTGATGAGATCAGTGCACTCACAACTGAATAATATATTTGATGTTCTGTGTTTGTTTATATACATTTCTGCTCTGTAAATCTGTGAGCTCTACACTGTGTTAGACCACAGTGTGTGAAAGGCCACCCGTAGACTCATAAGCTGTGTGGAACATACAGCAGAACTGGAGAGATTCCATTAGGATTATGTGTGTGGGGAGTATCTTCATACAGCGCCTGTCTTTGGTAAGCGGGTACTGTACTATATGATAATATGCTTCTAAAATAAGACGATGTAATTATCTACTTTCTTTCAGATTTCCCATTATCTTGCTTTCTCTCTCGTCATGGCTTTGTGTCCCTGCACATTGTGACGGCCTCATTACTCTGTGAAGTTAATGGATTCAGCTGCTTGGCCTGCATTAATTCAACTGTATATATTTCCCTATGAAACAGGCAAACATTATCCACTGAAAGGACTGTGGAGAAGGAGATATAGACAAACAGACAGATTGAAAGTGAGGGAGGGAGGGAGAGAGAGGGAGGCAGTGAAATAGAATGATGAATTGTAGCAGAGGCCACCCATGCGTAGTTGTCTGTGGTACTGTTCCTCAGATGCTGTGGAGTGCTAATTAAATTCCTCTTGTCACAATGGGTCACCAGACTTAGCAGGCGACAAGCAGGATGGGAGATGGAGAGAGAAGCAGAATCCCCCAAAACGTGTCAAATGAGTGGACAGATGAGAGCCAGAGAAGGCTATTCAGAAGATACAAGTTGTTGGCTTAGATTATTTGTATTTGCACCACATCGTTTTATATGAATGTCGACCTTCAGGCGTTATTCTCTTTGGTGGTAGAGAGACTTTAAGACAATGAGCAGCACTCCTCTTCATTGCATGTGGTAGTTAAATGAAAATGTGGGTGCAGCTTTGCCTGGCAACATTAAGAATTTAGACTGGGATCTTATATGTACGGGTCCAGCATTACTTTAAATAGCAGCAGCTGTTGAATGAATCATACATTAGAGCCGAAGAAGAGCCTTATGCCTCAGTGTTACCTGGGAGTTGGACTCTCCAAGGTCAGAGCTGGCTTCTGCTTGATTGAATCCTGCTCAAATCATCTATATTCCAAATGACATTCCTAGGCTTCGTGCTTGATGGATTCTCCCAATTTTTCAAATTAATATCATGGTCCACTTGATAGTTTGGAGGAAAACTACATGCAGGAACGTTTTACATTTGATCAGTTAGTGACCACTTAATGGATATTTGAAGAGCAAAATTGCATCTGATTGCCCCCAACCATAACTTGATAGAATGTGGTCTGGTGTGTCATGGAGCAAATTTGCTCAAGCACGGTTGTTAGATATAGTCCCCATTTTCCATGGAAACTTAGTCTGTTTTTTACCCCAAAGGAAATTCAGGGAATTTAATGATAACTTTTGTATATATATATTTGTATATATACACTACCGTTCAAAAGTTTTGGGTCACTTAGAAATGTCCTTGTTTTCCATGAAAACATACATGAAATGAGTTTGAATAGGAAGTATTGCAAAATGCATAGGAAATGTAGTCATTGACAAGGTTAGAAATAATGATTTTTAATAGAAATAATAATTGTGTCCTTCAAACTTTGCTTTCGTCAAATTATCCTCAATTTGCAGCAATTACAGCCTTGCAGACCTTTGGCATTCTAGTTGTCAATTTGTTGAGGTAATCTGAAGAGATTTCACCCCATGCTTCCCGAAGCACCTCCCACAAGTTGGTTTGGCTTGATGGGCACTTCTTACGTACCATACGGTCAAGCTTCTCCCACAACAGCTCAATAGGGTTGATGTAAGTGGTGTTACTTAGATGCTGTGTTCACGATGCATGATTAATACATAATTCATGGTTTATTTGATGTAGTAAATAAATAAATGATTTATTGATGTATAGGTAAGAATTTAAATGTGATGTAACAGGTCAAATTAACGTTAGGCCATTGTTTGTGTGCAATCTAACTTAAACAGATCTTAGTCTGAGTTATAATTGTTGATGGCAGAGGCCAAGAAAGACAGTAAAGGGACTTTCAAGGGACTTTAAGGATTCATGAACCTCTTTTCAGGACAAGCAGCCAACAAGGTATTTTGTTCAACCTGTAGAACTTTGTTTATATTCGCGCCAAGTGCCATTTGTATTGTCGCGCCGAGCGCCATTTGTATTATTTTGTTTCAGTACTGTATCATTTATCAACGTTACTGTGTTCATTCAAATATATAGTTCTCACGGCGTGACGTGGATGCATCGGAGAAAAAGACGTGCAAGGAAATAAACGCCCGTTTCAAAGAACCAACCTGTGTCTGTTGTCATGAAGAGAGCTACAGTTGCGTCTTCCCTAAATAGTTCTTGCATAGTTTGGAGTTGTGCTTTGGGTCATTGTCCTGTTGTAGGAGGAAATTGGCTCCAATCAAGCGCCGTTCACAGGGTATGGCATGGCGTTGCTAATTGGAGTGAAAGTCTTCCTTCTTCAAGATCCCTTTTACCCTGTACAAATCTCCCAATTTACCACCACCAAAGCACCCCCAGACCATCACATTGCCTCCACCATGCTTGACAGATGGCATCACGCACTCCTCCAGCATCTTTTCATTTGGTCTACGTCTCACAAATGTTCTTCTTTGTGATCCGAACACCTCATACTTCGATTCGTCTGTCCATAACACTTTTTTCTAATCTTCCTCTGTCCAGTGTCTGTGTTCTTTTGCCCATCTTAATCTTTTCTTTTTATTGGCCAGTCTGAGATATGGCTTTTTCTTTGCAACTCTGCCTAGAAGGTCAGCATCACTGTTGACGTTGTGTGAGAGTGTGATTTGAAGGAGTCAGGCACACGAGGGTAAATCACAGAATACAGAGTTTATTGTATTGTACGAGATCTACAGTTTTTAGGCAATTTCTCGCATGGAATAGCCTTAATTTCTCAGAACAAGAATAGACTGACGATTTTCAGAAGAAAGTTCTTTGTTTCTGGCCATTTTGATTCTGTAATCGAACCCACAATTGCTGATGCTCCAGATACTCAACTAGTCTCAAGAAGGCCCGTTTTATTGCTTCTTTAATCTGCACAACGTTTTTCAGCTGTGCTAACATAATTGCAAAAGGGTTTTCTAATGATCAATTAGCCTTTTAAAATGATAAACTTGGATAAGCAAACACAACGTGCCATTGGAACACAGGACTGATGGTTGCTGATAATTGGCCTCTGTACGCCTATGTAGATATTCCATAAAAAATCTGCTACGAGTTTCCAGCTACAATAGCCATTTACAACATTAACAATGTCTACACTGTATTTCTGATCAATTTGATGTTATTTTAATGGACAAAAAAATTGCTTTTCTTTAGAAAACAAGGAACTTTCTAAGTGACCCTAAACTTTTGAACGGTAGTGTATATATTTATTATTTTTTATTTTACCCCCACTTTCTCCCCAATTTCCATCTTGTCTCATCGCTGCAACTCCCCAATGGGCTCGGGCGGCGAAGGTCATGCGTCCTCCGAAACATGATCCGCCAAACCGCACTTCTTAACACCCGCCCACTTAACCCGGAAGCCAGCCGCACCAATGTGTCGGAGGAAACACCATTCAACTGACGACCGAGGTCAGCCTGCAAGCTCCCGGCCCGCCACAAGGAGTCGCTAGAGCGCGATGAGCCAAGTAAAGCCCACCCGGCCAAACCCCTATGGGACTCCCGATCACGGCCTAACACGGACGACGCTGGGCCAATTGTGCGCCGCCCTATGGGACTCCCGATCACGGCCGGTTGTTGAGTGGTTCTTTGATATGTTCACATATACATTTTTGTGTCATAATTGGGAGAAATATACTTTAAAAAACAGTATTATTAACCTTTAGTTACCGTATTGAATGAAGCTTGACCAGCACAATGAATGAAAGAGACCAGATAATAACAGCTGTGATAACAATAGCTGATGATACCAGCCTTCTCTCCAACTCTCTCCACAGCACAAGAGGAGTCAGTGGCCACCTACAAAGGCAACGAGTTTTTCAGCTATGATCTGTCTCAGACACCCATCCAGAGCAGCCTGGATGAGATTACTTTGTCCTTCCGCACACTGCAGAGGAACGGCCTCCTGCTCCACACCGGGAAGTCAGCTGACTATGTTAACCTATCCCTGAGGAGTGGCGCTGTGTGGCTGGTCATCAACCTCGGCTCCGGGGCCTTCGAGGCCATGGTGGAGCCTGCCAACGGCAAGTTCAACGACAATGCCTGGCACGAAGTCCGCGTCACACGCAACCTGCGCCAGGTACTGTAGCCCTCCTTTCTCTCCTCCTTCATATGCTCAGCAGTAGTTCTATCATTCATTATTACAGGAAGAGTTTCCTTTTCTACTTTAAGAGGGAGTAATAGTGTCATTATTTAGCTTCCAGTAGTTGTGAATGCTTCCTCATCATGGGCATCCAAGGGAAACCAATTATACTGTCAGCTTGTGATTGAATTATGCTAATTTAGGACTGAAAAACAAAGATGAATAGAAAACAAACAATATTCTCAATTTGCTTTAAAATATCACTGTTTTAGGCTTTTCTAATTTAACCCTCAATGTATCAGTCCCAAGCCGAACTCCAGTGACTCATACCCCAATCAATGCCACAAGTTTGGCTCTCTCAAAATAATGTCTCCATAGGTGAAAAATGTTGATGCCGTGTGATGTTTCGCCTTCTTAGTGAGACTAGTCATGTTGAGGTGTAGATTGTTGTGGCTGAAATAACTTGGAACTTGTGGATTGATTTCTGGGTCAGTCTCATTGAGTCTCAATTCCACTGTGTCAACAACAGTGTAGTAATCAATAAGAGTTTTTCATGTACATTGGATTTGTCATGTTTTTACATATTAAAGGTGCCTTTATAATTCCATGTTTCCAACTTTAAATGTTACTTTACATGTCAATGTGTACAGTGCTGTGGGTGAGTTTATCCTGTGGAAGGATACCACTATTTTTTACTGAGCTGCGAATAGAGTCTGATGAATGGTCCATATAGCTAGATCTATCCTCTAGGGTTGCACTTCAACAAAACCTTTGATCTTTGAAAGCATACAGCCATGTATTTCACATTTGAATCGCTGTACTAGCTTTACACCTTGTTAGGATTAGTCAGTGACACACTCTCCTGCTAACCCTGGTCCTGCCTGCTTTCCCCCACATTAAGCCTGTCCAACTCCACTCTGTCTGCCCATTTTATGGTTAATTGCTTTGCTAACTCTGTCTTGTATACTAACTAACTTAACTCTTTAAAGGCTCCAGGCTTTCATTTTCATCCCTTCAGTTGTTCTATTCTTCATTATTTCACCTCTCAAATTACATTTCCACGCAATTTTGATTCGTATTACTGGTATCATATTGAATGAAGACGAAATCTATGTAGTGAATATTATTTTATAAGGAATGTATACACATCCAGCATGGACATGCTATGGTAAACATATGATAGTCACTTTTTGAATTTTGTTTGGTTTGCCTGTTATTTTTTCCCAGTATCTCTTGATTTTTGAATCAACAAAAGAAATGACAAAATTGGCTACAATTTCAAGGTGGCATTCAACATGCTAATTTTCTTTTTATATTCCACAAAGATCATCAGGGTTATTTGCCACCTACAACTCACTTCCGACTGACAATAAGTTGCCTATCACTGTATCAGAACATAAGAAATTCTATAAGAGAATTCTGTTTAGAGTAGACCTGTGCTCCCAATGGATCTGGTTAGTCCCCATTGTGGGAAACAGGTAGGGAACAAGAAAGATGCAGAGCCATAATACTAACAAGCATAAACCTTTAGTGGCTATCAAATAAGTGTCAGGCACTGTGTAACAGTATGAGTGAGTGAGTGAGTGAGTGAGTGAGTGAGTGAGAGAGAGAGAGAGAGAGAGAGAGAGAGAGAGTGAGTGAGTGAGTGAGTGAGTGAGTGAGTGAGTGAGTGAGTGAGTGAGTGAGTGAGTGAGTGAGTGAGTGAGTGAGTGAGTGAGTGAGAGAGAGAGAGAGAGAGAGAGATCAGTTAGATTAGACAAAAAAAATCGTATTCTCTTTTTAACTTCAAAGCTGGACTTCCCCGCCTTCTAATCCTAAAGTTTTCAAACTTGTTAGTATGCATAGAGGTAAATCGATTCTGTTTCTTCTTCTTTTATTCATTCTGTTGCATGCCTCCACTAACATCAACTGTACTGTATATATACATTAACAGAAATCTACAGACTGTATGTACAGTGGGGGAAAAAGTATTTAGTCAGCCACCAATTGTGCAAGTTCTCTCACTTAAAAAGATGAGAGAGGCCTGTAATTTTCATCATAGGTACACGTCAACTATGACAGACAAAATAAGGAAAGAAAATCCAGAAAATCACATTGTAGGACTTTTAATGAATTTATTTGCAAATTATGGTGGAAAATTAGTATTTGGTCAATAACAAAAGTTTCTCAATACTTTGTTATATACCCTTTGTTGGCAATGACACAGGTCAAACGTTTTCTGTAAGTCTTCACAAGGTTTTCACACACTGTTGCTGGTATTTTGGCCCATTGTTTATATTTGAGCCAGGGTGTATTTGTTTTGTTGGGTTTTGGTTTGGTTATGTTGGGTTTTGGGTGTATTTCTATGTTTGCATTTCTGTGGGGTTTATTTCTAGGTTTGGTCAATGACTCCCAATCGGAGGTAACGAGTGTCAGCTGTCGGCTCGTTATCTCTGATTGGGAGCCATATTTATTCTGCATGTTTTCCTGTGGGAATTGTGGGTTTTTGTTCCGTTTCGGTTAGTTAACCGTGGACTTCATGAGTCGTCTTTTGTTTTGTATTTTGTGCGTCATCTATTAAAGTCATGTTCGCCACAAACGCTGCGCTTTGGTCCGCTTCCTTTCAAGACGGCCGTGACAGAAAAACCCACCATCAAAGGACCAAGCAGCGTATCCAGGAGCAAAGGGTCTGGACATGGGAGGAGATATTGGACGGAAAAGGGTCATGGACTTGGGAGGAAATCCTGGATGGGATGGATCGCCGTCCATGGAGCGAGACAGTGGAGAGGCGACGGAGAGAGGAGCAACGGCGTCGGCAGGGCCATCGTCGGAAGGATGAGAGGCAACCCCAAAAAAAATTTTGGGGGGGGCACATGGCTTGGGCGGCTGGGCAGCAGGAGGCTGCCACAGGGAGATGTGGAGAGAAGGCTTTCGGATTACGGGAGCCATTGGCGAGTAGAGGGAGGGAAGTTGTTGTGGCACGGCGTGAGAGACTGAGGTATGTTACCAGTCCGGTCCGGCCCGTTCCTGATCCCCAGTTAAGGCCAGTGGTGTGTGTTCCCGGTACGGGACCGGCCTGTTCCTACTCCACGCACCAGGCCCACGATGTGCGTCGCCAGCCCAGCTCGGCCTGTTCCTACTCCACGCACCAGGTCCACGATGTGCGTCGCCAGCCCAGCCCGGCCGGTTCCTGCTCTACGCACTACGCCTGTGGTGTGCGTCACCAGCCCAGCCCGGCCGGTTCCTGCTCCACGCACGAAGCCTACGGGGTGCGTCGCCAGTCCAGCCCGGCCGGTTCCTGCTCCACGCACGAAGCCTACGGGGTGCGTCGCCAGTCCAGCCCGGCCGGTTCCTGCTCCACGCACGAAGCCTACGGGGTGCGTCGCCAGCCCCAGCCCGGCCGGTTCCTGCTCCACGCACCAGGCTCATGGTGTGCGTCGCCAGCCCAGCCCGGCCTGTTCCTGCTCCCCGCACTAGTCCTGAGATGCGTGTCCTCAGCCCGGGACCACCAGTTCCGGCACCACGCACTAGGCCTTATGTGCGTCCCCAGGGTCCAGCATGCCCTGTTCCTGCTCTCCGCACTAGGCCTTATGTGCGTCCCCAGGGTCCAGCATGCCCTGTTCCTTCTCTCCGCACTAGGCCTTATGTGCGTCCCCAGGGTCCAGCTTGCCCTGTTGCTTCTCCCCGCACTAGCCCTGAGATGCGTGTCCTCAGCCCGGTACCTCCAGTTCCGGCACCACGCTCCAGGCCTACGATGCGCCTCAGACGGCCAGAGTCTGCCGTCTGCCCAACGGGGCCTGAACTGCCCGTCTGCCCAAAGGCGCTTGAACTGGCCGTCTGTACTGAGCCTGCAAGGCCGCCCGTCTGCCATGAGCCTTCAGAGCCGTCCGCCAGACCGGAGCCGCTAGAGCCGTCCGCCAGACAGGATCAGCCAGAGCCTTCCGCCAGACAGGATCAGCCAGAGCCTTCCGCCAGACTGGATCAGCCAGAGCCTTCCGCCAGCCATGAGCAGCCAGATCCGTCGGCCAGCCATGAGCAGCCAGATCCGTCGGCCAGCCATGAGCAGCCAGATCCGTCAGCCAGCCATGAGCAGCCAGATCCGTCAGCCAGCCATGAGCAGCCAGATCCTTCAGCCAGCCATGAGCAGCCAGATCCGTCGGCCAGCCATGAGCAGCCAGATCCGTCAGCCAGCCATGAGCAGCCAGATCCGTCAGCCAGCCATGAGCAGCCAGATCCGTCGGCCAGCCATGAGCAGCCAGATCCGTCGGCCAGCCATGAGCCGTCCAGCCAGGATCCGCCAGAGCCGTCCAGCCAGGATCCGCCAGAGCCAGCCAGCCAGGATCCGCCATTGAGTCCGGTGCTGTCCCTTAGCCCGGTGCTGCCCCTTATCCTGGTGCTGCCCCTTAGTCCGGTGCTGCCCCTTAGTCCGGTGCTGCCCCTTAGTCCGGTGCTGCCCCTTAGTCCGGTGCCGCCCCTTAATCCAGTTGGGTTTAGTTGGGGGGTGGTCATGTGGAGGAGGCTACGGAAGCGGATAGTGACTAAGGTGGGGTGGGGACCACGACCAGGGCCAGAGCCGCCACCGTGGACAGACGCCCACCCAGACCCTCCCATAGACTGTATGCTGGTGCGCCCGGAGTTCGCACCTTTAGGGGGGGGTACTGTGACACTCTGGCTCCGGGACGTTTATATTTGAGCCAGGGTGTATTTGTTTTGTTGGGTTTTGGTTTGGTTATGTTGGGTTTTGGGTGTATTTCTATGTTTGCATTTCTGTGGGGTTTATTTCTAGGTTTGGTCAATGACTCCCAATCGGAGGTAACGAGTGTCAGCTGTCGGCTCCAGATCTCTCTAGAGCAGTGATGTTTTGGGGGCTGTCGCTGGGCAACACGGACTTTCAACTCCCTCCAAAGATTTTCTATGGGGGTTGAGATCTGGAGACTGGCTAGGCCACTCCAGGACCTTGAAATGCTTCTTACGAAGCCACTCCTTCGTTGCCCGGGCGGTGTGTTTGGGATCATTGTCATGCTGAAAGACCCAGCGACGTTTCATCTTCAATGCCCTTGCTGATGGAAGGAGGTTTTCACTCAAAATCTCACGATACATGGCCCCATTCATTCTTCCTTTACACGGATCAGTCGTCCTGGTCCCTTTGCAGAAAAAACAGCCCCAAAGCATGATGTTTCCACCCCCATGCTTCACAGTAGGTATGGTGTTCTTTGGATGCAACTCAGCATTCTTTGTCCTCCAAACACGACGAGTTGAGTTTTTACCAAAAAGTTCTATTTTGGTTTCATCTGACCATATGACATTCTCCCAATCCTCTTCTGGATCATCCAAATGCACTCTAGCAAACTTCAGACGGGCCTGGACATGTACTGGCTTAAGCAGGGGGACACGTCTCGTACTGCAGGATTTGAGTCCCTGGCGGCGTAGTGTGTTACTGATGGTAGGCTTTGTTACTTTGGTCCCAGCTCTCTGCAGGTCATTCACTAGGTCCCCCAGTGTGGTTCTGGGATTTTTGCTCACCGTTCTTGTGATCATTTTGAACCCACGGGGTGAGATCTTGCGTGTAGCCCCAGATCGAGGGAGATTATCAGTGGTCTTGTATGTCTTCCATTTCCTAATAATTGCTCCCACAGTTGATTTCTTCAAACCAAGCTGCTTATCTATTGCAGATTCAGTCTTCCCAGCCTGGTGCAGGTCTACAATTTTGTTTCTGGTGTCCTTTGACAGCTCTTTGGTCTTGGCCATAGTGGAGTTTGGAGTGTGACTGTTTGAGGTTGTGGACAGGTGTCTTTTATACTGATAACAAGTTCAAACAGGTGCCATTAATACAGGTAACAAGTGGAGGACAGAGGAGCCTCTTAAAGAAGAAGTAGAGCCAGAAATCTTGCTTGTTTGTAGGTGACCAAATACTTATTTTCCACCATAATTTGCAAATAAATTCATAAAAAATCCTACAATGTGATTTTCTGGATTTTTTTTTCTCATTTTGTCTGTCATAGTTGACGTGTACCTATGATGAAAATTACAGGCCTCTCTCATCTTTTTAAGTGGGAGAACTTGCACAATTGGTGGCTGACTAAATACTTTTTTCCCCCACTGTAAGTGTGATTTCTCTTTCCATTTTACTTAATGTGAATAATTCATAATTACATGATTAATATGCATCACCTGTGTCCACACTCACAAAGCAACCTTTATTTAAACCAAAATGATGAGGTTTGCCAAGTTTTTTCTATTCATACTAAGATGATACATTTCCAATTACTAATAGTCACTCTTCTCTATCTACTATTGTACTAACAACCATTTTTGTGTCTGAATCTTCCGTCCTTACTAACAGACCCCCTTAACATCTCACCCCAACCTGCATACAAACATTCTCGCTCTTCATTATCCCGAGCCTACCCTCACCCATACTCCACTGCATTTGATCCTGCATACATTGCTCTTCTTCTCGGATAGCTTCTGGTTACCACACTGACATGCCGATAGAGAGAAATGCACCTCCTGTGGGAACGCTAGTGGAAACAGTTTTTTTTAACAAGCCCTGGTGGTCAGCTTTCACAGGCTAGATTCCTCTTATCTTTCTCTCTCTCGCTGTCTCTCTCTCTCTTGATCTTCCCCTATCACTTTCTCTCTCACACCCTCAATCACACACTCTCTTTGACACACACACAATCTCACCTACTCCCTTGTTCAACCTTGCCTACAATCGAAGCTACAGACTCATAGCAGCTCTAAACAGCAACAGCAGACATAAATGTGTTGCCCCATGAGGGAAGTGCATTTAAAACCAGGAATTACCAATAACTACATGAATGATCAGACCAGGGCAATTCCTCAGAGTGCAAGTGGCAGGGCCTTGCTCTTCTCAGAGAGGACCCCTGGGAAATGTAGTATTTGTCAGTCAGCAGTAATGTTCTGCAGCATTCACAGAATATCATTATAGTATAAACCACGTACTTTACAGTATTACCATTTCAGTCAAAGCTGAGCCACATACTTTACAGTATATCTCATATATATGTAATAAACTCCTCTTAAACCATTTAAATGGATTATAACACCTTCTGAAACCATTGTTCTCCCAACAATGAATAATAGATTTGGTAAATTTTTCTTCAGCTAATTGGTCCGTTCATTTATTCTTCCTGTCTCTCTGTATTGATTTGAGATTGATTAGACTCAGCCTCAACTGTCTGATTACCGACGATGGACTACTGTATCTGTCATCGAATGGGTGCCATCTCAAATCCAAAATATTGGTGAAATGATCATATCATAATTTGCTCATCGACCCTGCTAATATTTTGAGAATAGAGAAAAGGAGGAAGCTTCTGAGATTGGCGGAGTCCTCCATCTGCACTCATCAATTCACCCTGTAGATCTTACATCTAAGGATTCGACTAAATTCAAAGGCCAGCATTTAACGCAAAAAAAAAAGCAGTGGATGTTTGCTGTTTAATTCATATTCTTTCCGCATTTCCCACTTGTCTCTTTGTTTCTGTTCTCTCTCTTCCGCCTTTCTCCATCCCTCTATTTCTCTCTGGTCACCCAGGTGACCATCTCTGTGGATGGGATCCTGACCACCACTGGCTACACCCAGGAGGACTACACCATGCTAGGCTCAGATGACTTGTTCTACATTGGCGGGAGTCCCAACACAGCTGACCTCCCTGGCTCCCCGGTCAGCAATAACTTCATGGGCTGTCTCAAAGATGTAAGTACTGTGTTGTTCAGCAGCCCTCATCAGGGAACTCTGATCTTGGAATACACAAATACACAGTGCTTTTGTTGAGCTGTTTTCAGATTCACAAACACCATTCACTTTGTAAAATGTCAGCTCTTTTAGGTATGTGCCTGTAACGTAGACACTGGGAGTCAAGAAGCAGGTGGTAAGTTTAATATAACAAAGAACATGGAAGGATACAACATAGGAGTAGCGTCTTGACATGAAACACAGAAACAATACTGGCTGGGGAAAGAACATAAGGGAATGCCAGCTAAAGGGGAGGTAATGGAGTCCAGGTGTGCCTCATGATGAAGCACAGGTGTGCGTAATGATGGTTACCAGGACCGGTGGTTAGTAAACCGGCGACGTCGAACGCCGGAGGGGATGATGTTGGGATCCAGAATGTCCTCCACCGGAACCCAACACTGCTCCTCAGGGCCGTACCCCTCCCAGTCCACCAGGTACTGGAGCCGACGCCCACGACCTCACGAGTCCAGTAGGGATCTCACGGCATAGACGGGACCTCCCTCAACGTCCGGGGGGGCGGAGGGGTGTCGTGTGGGACAGCATCAGCCAGGAGACCAGGAACCACCGGCCTGAGAAGGGAGACATGAAAAGAAGGTGAGATACGGTAGTCACTGGGAAGCTGTAACCTATACGTCACCTCATTGACCCTCCCGATAACCTTTAACGGCCCCACAAACCGGGGGCTTAGCTTCTTGCAGGGCAGGCGGAGTGGGAGGTTCCTGGTAGAGAGCCAAACACGATCACCAGGATGGAACACGGGAGTCTCACAGCGGTGGCGGTCTGCCTGCTCCTTCTGACGGTGGACGGCGTGCTGGAGTCTCACGTGAGCCTCGCTCCACACTTCTTCTGCGAGCCTGAACCACTCATCCACCGCAGGAGCGTCGGTTTGGCCCGGGGTCCACGGAGCCAGGGCCGGCTGAAAACCCAGAACACACTGGAAGGAAGTCAGCCCGGTGGAGGAGTGACGTAACGAATTCTGGGCGTACTCCGCCCATGGAAGGAATTGGGCCCACTCTCCCTGCCGGTCCTGGCAGTGACTCCTCAGGAACCTCCCCAGCTCCTGGTTCATCCTCTCCACCTGCCCATTAGACTGAGGCCTATACCCAGAAGTGAGGCTGACCGTGACCCCAAGCTTCTCCATAAAGGCTCTCCATACCCGTGATGTGAATTGGGGGCCACGGTCGGAGACTATGTCCTCCGGAGGGCAATAGTGCCGGAAGACCTGCTGGAACAGTGCCTCAGCGACCTGGAGAGCAGTAGGGAGACCAGAGAGAGTGATGAAACAACAGGATTTGGAGAATCTATCCACAACCACCAAAATGGTGGTGAAACCGTCAGAGGAGGGGAGATCAGTGACAAAGTCAATGGATAGATGGGACCAGGGACACTGAGGCACAGGAAGGAGTTTCCCTGCTGGAGCGTGCCGGGGAGATTTGGTTTGAGCACATACGGAACAGGAGTTGACGTAGCAAATAACGTCCTGCACCAAGGTAGGCCACCAATACTTCTCGGAGATAGATTGAGTGGTACGAGAAATACCTGGATGTCCAGCGATGACAGCTGTGTGCGCCCAGGTCAGCAGCCGATCCCTTATCCTCGTGGGAACGTAGATGCACTCAGGAGGACAGGTAATGGGTGCGGGCTCCCTCTCCAGAGCCTGACGAATGTCCACATCTACGTCCCAGACCACAGGGGCTACGACTCGAGAGGAAGGGATTATGGGTGCACTCTGGACAGGACCCTCTCCCGAATTGTAGAGATGGGACAGGGCATCGGCTTTGGTGTTCTTTGAACCTGTGCAGCTTGAAGTCAAATCTCGTAAAGAAAAGGGCCCACCTTGCATCGCGGATTCAGCCTCCTCGTTGTCCGTATGTACTCCAGGTTCAGATGGTCGGTGAGGATGACGAATGGGTCCTTGGTGCCCTCCAGCCAGTGTCTTCACTCCTCTAATGCCTACTTCACCGCCAGGAGCTCTCGAATGCCGACGTCATAATTCCTCTCTGCAGGGGACAGTTTCTTAGAGTAATACGCACACGGATACAATTTTTGTGGATTACCTTGTTGTTGAGACAGAACTGCCCCCACGCCCACCTCTGAAGCATCCACCTCCACCACAAAAGGTATCGTGGGATCTAGGTGTTTGAGCAATGGGGCGGAGGTGAAACGTCCCTTCAGTAGGCAGAAGGCCTCGTCAGCTGCTGGACTCCACACCAACCTACGGGGACCACCCTTGAGGAGAGAGGTGAGAGGAGGGGCAATGGAGCTAAAGTTCCTGATGAAACGGCGGTAGAAGTTGGCAAACCCCAAAAACCGTTGTAACCCCTTTATGGTGGTTGGGACTGGCCACGACCTGACCTCATCTACCTTCTTGACGTCCATCATCACTCCTTGCGGGCTGATCTGGTAGCCTAGATAGGAGACAGCTTCCTGATGAAACTGGCACTTCTCAGCCTTGACAAACAGTTGGTTAGCCAGGAGGCGTTCCAGGACTACTTGGACGTGAGCGATGTGATCCTCCAAGGTAGGCGAGTAGACCAGGATGTTGTCGATATACACGATCGCCTGGCGTCCGAGCATGTCCCGGAACACCTCGTTGACGAATGCCTGGAACAGTGACGGAGCATTGGCTAAGCCAAATGGCATCACCAAGTACTCGTAGTGACCAGACATCGTGCTAAAAGCTGTCTTCCATTCATCCCCCTCTCAGATGAGATTGTATGCACTCCGCAGGTCCAATTTGGTAAAGAACCGGGCCCCTCGGAGCTGTTCGATGGCTGCCGGCACCAACGGCAGAGGGTAACGGTACTTGGTGGTGATCTCATTGAGTGCTCTGTAATCAATACACGGACATAAACCTCCATCCTTCTTTGCCATGAAGAAGAATCCTGCAGATGCAGGAGAAGTGGACGTGCGGATGAAACGTTGTTGGAGCGCATCCTGGATGTACTCCTCCATGGCCTTGGTCTCAGCCACCGACAGAGGGTAGATGTGTCTGTGAGGGGGCGCAGAGCCTGCAAGCAGGTCGATGGCACAGTCCCAGAGGCGATGAGGAGGGAGACAGGTGGCGCGGGTTTTGGAAAATACCTCCCGCAGGTCCTGGTATACCTCCGGGATGTTGGGCTGAAGGGCAAGGCAACCACAGGACTCTCAACCGATGTGGATGGTGGGGTTGAAGCCAAGGGATGCTGAGGATGATATTGTGAGATGGTGATGAAGAAAATAATGTTCTCCTGATGAATGAACTCCATGGTGAAGGTGAGTGGTTTGGTGATGTGTCCCGGAACCTAATGGCTGATTATCGAGGGCTTGAACCGGGAAAGGAGAAGGTAATATGAGGTGATGTTAAGAGAGGAGGCAAGGGTCTGGTCAATAAAGTTCCCCGCGGCACCGGAATCCACTAACGGTGTAAAAACAGTACGAGGGACAGTCAACTAGTGTGATTGACACCAAAAAGGGTTTGGCAGAAAGTGTTGAAGAGGGGATACTCACACCTGCCCCAGGAGGTGGAAGATCATGTGACCGTCCCTCTGCTCTCGTGGATCCCGAGTTGGAACGTACCAGACATTGCTGGAGCTGGTGCCCTCCTTGACCACAATAGAGACAGAGCCCCAGCTGTCTCAGTCTGCGTCGCTTTGCCGCGGGGAGGCGTGTGACCCCTACCTCCATGGATCAGGCTCTGATCCAATGTGTTCACTGAGGGAGGAAGAGAAAGGATGAGAGTGCCGATGCTCCCAAAGTAGGTTATCCAGATGGATGGCCATCGCGATGAGTGCGTCCAAGGAGAGGTTGTCGTCTCGACAGGCCAGTTTCGTCTGGACCTCATCTGAATAGCGCACGAAGCGCCGGCTCATTCCATCCGCTGGATGCTGCTACTGTTTGGAAGGTGAGCGCAGCAGTCTGGTCATCCTGCCGTAGTTGGAGTAGGCGCTCACCCCCCTCTCTGCCCTCCACTGGATGATTGAAGATACCTCTGAACAGAGCCTTGAATCCCTCATACGAATCCAGCTCCTCCTCTCCTCTCTCCCAGACGGCCGTGGCCCATTCCAACGCCCGCCCAGTCAATAGAGAAATAACCGTGGCAACCTTGGACCTCTCGTGGTGGGGGCTCCCTTCCGGTGTGCAAAGTAGAGGGAGCACTGTAGTAGGAAGCCACAGCATTTAGATGGGGTGCCGTCATATTTGTCCGGGAGGGACAAATGGGCATCGCTGACCTGGGCGGGTTGCTGAATGGGCTGGTGTGCTCGCTCGCTGGGTCGACTGGTGGTAGAGTATCCTCCACTAGTTGAAGGCAACGCCTCTCGGGTATGTTCGAGAAGTTGAACACTGCAAAGAACCTCTTCCATAGCCGTCCCCAGTTGCGCCAGCTGGTCGTGGTGTTGACTAAGTAGGTATCCCTGCTCGTCGACCGTCTGGGAGATATTCTGATTACCTGCTGCTTCCATTTTGCGAGGCAGTATTCTGTAACGTAGACGCTGGGAGTCAAGAAGCAGGTGCAGGTGGTAAGTTTAATATAACAAAGAACATGGAACAATACAACATAGGAGTAGCGTCTTGACAAGAAACACAGAAACAATACTGCCTGGGGAAAGAACCTAAGGGAGTGCCAGATAAAGGTAATGAGTGAGGTAATGGAGTCCAGGTGTGCCTCATGATGAAGCGCAGGTGTGCGTAATGATTGATGCCAGGTGTGCGTAATGATGGTTACCAGGTGTGCGTAATGATGGTTACCAGGACCGGTGGTTAGTAAACCGGCGACGTCGAACGCCGGAGGGGAGGAGCGGGAGTAGCCGTGACAGTGCCACTTGGAATTTAGATGTTAAACCTCCCAGTGCATCACACAGGAAGAACATAGCACGTTTATATTTCTACATTTAGTTAGTTGCTAATTAATGACAGATTGTGACTTTGAACACATGCAGTGCCCTTAGTGTTCAGCTGTGTCCTAAAGAGTCCTAATGTAGATAGCTGTGTTTCATATGCATATCCCCTGGTAATTGGTCATGTATGAATGTAGCTATGGCCTTGAATTATATAATAGCATGACTACCTGGATATGAACTCCAGACTTGCTATTCTGTTGAATAATACAGGTTCTATTTTCCGGGATTAATTACACTTCTGCACTGACACCCCACCCCCACCCTCCCTAGTGACTGCCATGACCTTCCTCGCTATCTCTCTCTCTGTCTGTCTGTCTCCCCCCTCCCTTCCTATCGCTCACTCTCTCTGTCCCCCCTCTCTCGTTCTTTCTCTCTCTGTCTCTCCCTCCATCCCTCCCTCCCTCCCTCCCTCCTACTCTCTCTCAGTCAGAGAACATCTGTAATTAATACTATGTTAGTGAGGTCTTAGCTTTACCATCCTGACAGCCAATTTAGACATTGATTTCCTCCATGGATTCCCAGGCAGCACGTCCCTCCCTATGTCTCTGTCTAGTTGACCCTCCCATGTATTAATCATGTCTGCCTCTTCATTGATTGTGCCATGCTTCTCACTGCATCAGCCTCCCAAAGTCTTTGTCCTGTTTTTTACAGGAATCCTAATAACTAGACCAAAGATTTTTATAAATAAACCAAGATAGACCAAAGCCTGTCGTTTCAAATGGGAACAAATGAGTCATAGTGGGCAGAACAAGTAAGGCGGTGGGCAGAGCCAAGCACGAGCTAGCGAGATCCTATTGGCGCGTTCTAGCCTACATTTGCATATTTCCGTTAAGGAACGCCTACTCTGTGAAGTGTGCATGTGCAATAACTCAATTCACCTTTGCACTCCTTCTAAACAACGCACTTTTTTTGTCTACAAAACTTAGCCCACTCTGTTCGTAACAGATTCTAGTTTTGGGAACAGAAAACTGTGTTGTGATCAAATGTTTCATAGATTAGAAAATTTGCAGCATGTCGGTCAAAATCCATCTCGTTCCATCTTCTCAACTGCCGGCCACTGGGCTTCCTCTCACTACCATATATGGTAGTGAGTGGAAACGCCAAGCGGATGCTTCACATTTATACATCTGGTGAAATATCTGTTTCATTGTTCTATCTGTGACTATACTGTATACTGCTACAGATTTCTGATGCCTGTTACAGTAGAACGTGGCGATAGATATTGGACTTTGTCAGTGCTGGGAGGGGTCTTTGGGAATTACTGATACATACCTACAGTGCTATGAAAATGTATTTGCTCCTTTTCTTATTTTCTCTATTTTTGCATATGTTTTAGACTGAATGTTGTCAGATCTTCAACCAAAGGGAACCTGCGGAACAAATAACACAAAATGTGGATACTTATTTCATTTATTTAATAAAAAGTGTTTGGCTTTCGCTAGACATAACGGGACCCATGTCGTCCAAAAAGTTGACTCAAGTTTGCCAAAAAGCACCTGGAAGCACCTGGATGATCTGGGTGATGGTTTGGGGAAGCGTTGCTGCTTCAGGACCTGGAAGACTTGCCATCATTGAAGGAACCATGAATTCTGCTCTGTATCAGAGAATTCTAAATGAGAATGTCAGGCCATCCGTCTGTGAGCTGAAGCTGAAGCACAGCTGGGTCATGCAGCAAGACAATGATCCAAAACACAAGCAAGTCTACATCAGATTGTCTAAAAAGCAAAACATTAAACGTTTTGAAATGGCCTGGTCAAAGTCCAGACATAAACCTGATTGTCCAGACATAATCCTGATTGAGATGTTGTGGCAGGACCTGAAACGAGCAGTTCATGCTCGAAAACCCTAAAATGTCGCTGAGTTAAAGCAGTTCTGCACGGAAGACTGGGCCAAAATTCCTCCACAGAGAGACTGATCAACAACTACAGGAAGTGTTTGGTTGCAGTCATTGCAGCTAAAGGTGAGACAAGCAGTTATTGAGTGTAAAGGGGCAATAACTTTTTCACACAGGGGCATTGGGTGTTGCATAACTTTGTTTAAAAATGTAATTAAATAATGAACAGCATGTTGTGTTATTTGTTCACTCAGGTTCCCTTTATCTGACATGAGGTTTTGGTTGAAGATCTAAGAATATATTCAGTGTAGAAAATATGCAAAAATAGAGAAAATCCGAAAGGCAAATACTTTTTCACAGAACTGTATTTAATCACAGGCTCAGCAATGTATGATTGATGCTACCAAAGGAGATAGAAATGTTGAGTGTCATCAAAATTCTAACGTAGGGTGAGAACAATTTTGTACTTTTGCATCTATGGCTGAAATAGACTCAACAATTGCATTTTTCATACTTAGGTTTTATATTCTTCTCATTAGATTTTATTTAGGTCTGGCAATTACTGGTAATGGTGCCTTGTGAAACCAAGCCGCTGCCTAGTGTATTTTTAAACAGAGGGACACTAAAATTCTCAACCTGGAGCAGGGCGCCAGTCAGCTTTTTGACTGCAAGTGTGGTGTGAAAATGAAAAACATGTTCAGCTGTGCCTCCCTGCTGCCTCCATCTGTACATGAGAACAGTGCACATGTGACAGACAGACCGTCAGACAGACAGACAGGGAGATTCTCATTATGGTCTAGTTCTGTCATTTATGAGAGCTTGTGCATTTTATACACTTCAATGAATGACAAATTGTTGCATGGATTCTAAGGTTTGGTATGGAGTACAATCACAGAAAAGAGTGCGGGTTAAGGTAAATAGCAGGACAGAAAGTGGTCTTTCAGCACACCGCAGCCACCCACTCAGTGACAGTCCTGTCCCCTGTCCTACAGGTGGTCTACAAGAACAATGAGTTCAGGCTGGAGCTGTCTCGTCTGGCTGCAGAGCGGGACCCTCAGGTCAGTGTTCACGGCGACCTGACCTTCCACTGTGAGGACGTGGCGGCCCTGGAGCCGGTCACCTTCGACACGCCCGCCGCCTACCTCACCCTGCCCAGGTGGAAAACCAAGAAGACTGGCTCCATCTCTTTTGACTTCCGCACCACGGAGCCCAGCGGCCTGCTGCTGTTCAGCCACGGTGACAGGCGTCTGCAGGGCCTAGACAGACAGCCGGAGGGGCAGTCCAGGGCTGACTACTTTGCTATGGAGCTCCTGGACGGCTTCCTCTATCTGGTGATGGACATGGGCTCTGGCAGCATCAAGATGAAAGCCAGCAACAAGAGGGTCAACGATGGGGAGTGGTGCCATGTGGACTTCCAGAGGGATGGGCGTAAGGGTGAGAGAAAGCACACATGATGAATCTGGTCCTAATGAGGTAGCAGGAATAGCAAGGGTTAAATCCTACTGGCTTGTGAAATTAAATGTACTATACCCATACAGACACACTCATATTTTGGCTTCTTCTTCATGTTTCTTTGCTGCATTCAGAGATGCTGCGTGCATATCCCATTTTAATTAGTCTTATTTTTAGCAGCTATAATCTATGTATGACATTTAGTAAATTGCCTTAACCTATTTCGCAAGTGGCCAATTATACTGTCATCCACCTCATGTGGGGAAATGTCTGCCCTCATTAGCCGTGCTCCGTGATTTGAGCCAGTGTTGCTTACAGCTTACTATTAACAGAGAAATACGGTACGACAAAGACCTGAGACATTCCTGTTCATTAGTCATTTCATAGTTTTACACCTGGTGTACCTTGTGGATTATATTCTATATTATACAGTGAGATTATACAGTGAGACAGCCTTGATACTAGTTGACTCACTCTGACTGTCTTGCCTTCAGGCCTGATCTCAGTGAACAGCCGCAGCATACCATTCTCTGCTAACGAAGGCAGTGAGATCTTAGACCTGGAGGGTGACATGTACCTCGGGGGTCTGCCTGAGGCACGTGAGGGCCTCATCCTCCCCCCAGAAGTCTGGACGGCCCCCCTCAACCTGGGCTACGTGGGCTGCATGCGGGACCTGTTCATGGATGGGCGGAGCCGGGACCTGAGGAGACTGTCAGAGATTCAGAGTGCCTCTGGAGTCAGCAGCTTCTGCACCAGGGAAACACACATCAGGTGTGGCAGAGACATCTGTTCCAACGGTGGGCAGTGCCGCGAGGGCTGGAACCGGCATGTGTGTGACTGCACCAGCACGGGCTACCTGGGCCCCAACTGTGAGAGTGGTGAGAGAGAGGATCAGCGGAATGTAGAAATTATCTCTGCTTGAAATGATACCGCAAAGCTTTTAAAACAAGTTTTATGATATTTCATACAGACAATGGAGATGAAATCCCTTTTATATGAGTCATTCAAGTGGTAAATTGCCACTCTATTAGTGAATTGGCGGTATGTGAGGAATAAATAGGTGCTGTGTATCAGTGATTCATCAGTATTGCGGTGGTGTTCCATAAATCTGAATAACCCGGCATCTACCACAGATATCATTCTCACAGAGAGAATAGGAGCCCCATTGTGAAGCCATATAGGCTGATAACGTTAGGAGGGAAATAAATGGAATCCTCATCCTATTTGTGGCCTGAATATAAATCTATGAGAGGAGGATGATTACAGAGGCTTCACATAAGAGCACTGTGGTATGTTACAGGCTTTTCCTGCCATCTAGTGTGGCTGCAGGAAACTGCAATCTCTTCAACAGGCATACAAAGAAACTGTTAGATATTGTTCAGCAAAGATTGTAACTGAAATATGAGTTGAAGTAAAACTCTCTGATCTTCATTTGATATTTTATTCTGAATCATGCGCTTATTCAGTATTGGGTGCAAAGGAATATATTTCCTACTGTATGGGAACATTTGTGACAAAGACATTTGCTAACGCTGTCTCCCTGTCCTTGGTGCCCACACACAGAGGCCACGGTGCTGAGCTACGATGGCAGCATGTATCTGAAGGTGACGCTGCCGTTGAGCATGCACACGGAGGCCGAGGACGTGGCGCTGCGCTTTATGTCCCAGAGGGCCTTTGGGCTGCTTGTGGCCACTACCTCCCAAGACTCCGCTGACACCCTGCGTCTGGAGCTGGACGCGGGCCGGGTCAAACTCACCGTCAACCTGGGTAATGCTAACAATGCTAACGGTATAGGCGTATGAGTCCTCACGGCTTCTCAGTTAGAGTACTCATGATGTCATGGGAAAAGGTATTGTACTACATATACCCCCCTTTTCCTCAGCATTACACAATCTATATACATCTCTATGTATCACCTCTGTGTTTTCTCTCTTTCCCTATCCCTCTTTCTCTCTCACCCATTCCCTGGTCCATCCCAACCCTTTCAGCCTGGCCTGTGTGTCTGCTGTCCTAGGAACAGGCAGCCAGAGAGACCAACTCACTTATAAACTCACTGTATCATCATGACAGATACATTGTAATGGTGTACAACAGATGTTGTAGTTGATGTTCTAGATCACGTGTGCCGTCCACCATGGCTCTCAGATTTGTCCTAACCCAGGAAGAGGAGAGCAGTAGAGAGCCGACCGAGGCAGTAATGGTGCCTGACAGGGCTGTGCCTCAGCTGGTAGCCCTAGTCTCCACATGCCCCATTACATATGTAGGTAGTGAGTCTGGTCCTTGGGTGTTTGCATCCACTGCTTTGTGATGGGTGACAGCTCCAGAGAACACCTCAGCCACACTAGCATAGTAGTGTGTAGCCCAGGGTTTTCCAAATTCGGTCCTCGGGACCCCAAGGGGTGCACGTTTTGTTTTTTTGCCCTAGCATACAAAGCTGATTCAAATAATGAAAGTTTGACGATTAGTTGATTATTTGAATCGGCTGTGTAGTGCTAGGGCAAAAACCAAAACATGCACCCCTTGGGGTCCCGAAACCCTGGTGTAGTGTGTAGTACATAGCCTTCATGGAGGGCTTTGTTATATCCAAAAGACCAAGGAAGCTCTGACTGTATTGGCACATGTTTTGGTAATGTACGCCATAATGACTATGTACAGTGAGGGAAAAAAGTATTTGATCCCCTGCTGATTTTGTACCTTTGCCCACTGACAAAGACATGATCAGTCTATAATTTTAATGGTAGGTTTATTTGAACAGTAAGAGACAGAATAACAACAAAAAAATCTAGAAAAACGCATGTCAAAAATGTTATAAATTGATTTGCATTTTAATGAGGGAAATAAGTATTTGACCCCTGCAAAACATGACTTAGTACTTGGTGGCAAAACCCTTGTTGGCAATCACAGAGGTCAGACGTTTCTTGTAGTTGGCCACCAGGTTTGCACACATCTCAGGAGGGATTTTGTTCCACTCCTCTTTGCAGATCTTCTCCAAGTCATTAAGGTTTCGAGGCTGACGTTTGGCAACTCGAACCTTCAGCTCCCTCCACAGATTTTCTATGGGATTAAGGTTTGGAGACTGGCTAGGCCACTCCAGGACCTTAATGTGCTTCTTCTTGAGCCACTCCTTTGTTGCCTTGGCCGTGTGTTTTGGGTCATTGTCATGCTGGAATACCCATCCACGACCCATTTTCAATGCCCTGGCTGAGGGGAGGTTCTCACCCAAGATTTGACGGTACATGGCCCCGTCCATCGTCCCTTTGATGCGGTGAAGTTGTCCTGTCCCCTTAGCAGAAACCCCCCCCCAAAGAATAATGTTTCCACCTCCATGTTTGACGGTGGGGATTGTGTTCTTGGGGTCATAGGCAGCATTCCTCCTCCTCCAAACACGGCGAGTTGAGTTGATGCCAAAGAGCTCGATTTTGGTCTCATCTGACCACAACACTTTCACCCAGTTCTCCTCTGAATCATTCAGATGTTCATTGGGAAACTTCAGATGGCCCTGTATATGTGCTCTCTTGAGCAGGGGGACCTTGCGGGCGCTGCAGGATTTCAGTCCTTCACGGCATAGTGTTTTACCAATTGTTTTCTTGGTGATTATGGTCCCAGCTGCCTTGAGATCATTGACAAGATCCTCCCGTGTAGTTCTGGGCTGATTCCTCACCGTTCTCATGATCATTGCAAGTCAACGAGGTGAGATCTTGCATGGAGCCCCAGGCCGAGGGAGATTGACAGTTCTTTTGTGTTTCTTACATTTGCGAATAATCGCACCAACTGTTGTCACCTTCTCACCAAGCTGCTTGGCGATGGTCTTGTAGCCCATTCCAGCCTTGTGTAGGTCTACAATCTTGTCCCTGACATCATTGGAGAGCTCTTTGGTCTTGGCCATGGTGGAGAGTTTGGAATCTGATTGATTGATTGCTTCTGTGGACAGGTGTCTTTTATACAGGTAACAAGCTGAGATTAGGAGCACTCCCTTTAAGAGTGTGCTCCTAATCTCAGCTCGTTACCTGTATAAAAGACACCTGGGAGCCAGAAATCATTCTGTAGCTCAGCTGGTAGAGCACGGTGCTTGTAACGCCAGGGTAGTGGGTTTGATCCCCGGGACCACCCATACACAAAAAAATGTATGCACGCATGACTGTAAGTCGCTTAGGATAAAAGCGTATGCTAAATGGCATATTATTATTATTATTATTATACTGATTGAGAGGGGGTCAAATACTTATTTCCCTCATTAAAATGCAAATCAATTTATAACATTTTTGGTTATTCTGTGTCTCACTGTTCAAATAAACCTACCATTAAAATTATAGACTGATCATTTCTTTGTCAGTGGGCAAACGTACAAAATCAGCAGGGGATCAAATACTTTTTTCCCTCACTGTAGCTACAATGGTGAGGAGATTTTCCACAGCATGATGCTCTCTGGCTCTAAATGCATAAGGCTTCAGTGTGGTTATGAGTATGCAAATCAGCCCTTTCCTCTGTCTGTAGTCTACCTAACTGCCCACTACCACATGGGTTGTACACACACCGGGAGGCATATCTGAAATCAACCTGGGATTTAACGTATGATTACTTTCTAGGTTTTAATACAGTCATGAAAAGCCTACTAACGTTATTACAGTAATGATATACCACAAACATGGTGATTTTACTCTGATTGCAGGACACATTACTGGTCCTCCTGAGTGTAGTGGAGAGTTACCATTACCTCCCTCAGCTCTTGTGTTAGTGGGTGCTGTATGGTTGCCATGGTGAGGAAAAGGCTGGTTTTGACTGAAGCTTGTCCCCTGATGGTGGTCTCTCAACAAAAAAAATGCAGAACGTACCTTGAAGGATGTGAAATGTTGTTTTTTGTTCTCTTTTTTAATATTGATCTTTTGTATTTATTTTTATCTCACCATCTCTCTCTCTCTCTCTCACCAGATTGTATCAGGATAGACTGTAACCTCAGTAAGTGGCTCCTATCATTATTTACTGTACTTCAGAACAACTGTGTCTTATACCTTATGTTCTGCTACTGTCTGTTTTAATATTAATACTATTAAATGCATTTAACATTAGTCATATACAATATTTATCCCAATGAAGTACTACAATCACATGGTTGTCTTGAAAAATTTAAAGGACTGTAAGGTAAATATCAAATACTGTATGAGGCTGAACATCATTTGGTAAACCATTCTCTAGTTTAAGCAACAAATGTCAGAATCATAAAATTATCCCTTATTCATTACATCAGCAAAATACCATCTGTTAATTGGTTCTCAGTGCTCCTCATAGAAACAACAGTGGGGGTAGATCCCTGCTACTTCTATCAGTAATGTACTCTAACTACCACCCGATGGCGATATAGCACTGGGTTTTGGGAAAACATTTTCCAATGAGTTTTAACAATACATGTCCTGGTGACCTATGGGAACTGTTGTCTATACAATTGAGTTTTTCAAATACATGTATGAGTATTCAAGGAAAGATGCATTTAAAATGCATGTAACTGCTTCGGTTTGTATGTTGGTTAGTACAGGTATAAACCTATACTAAGGGTAAGAGATCATTTGATACAGGTGAGACCGTGACAACAGATTGCGTGCAAAGCGATGTTGTGTTTTCCATTTTGAACCTGAAATAGCAACCTTAAGTATGTTGCTGCAGAGTTGTCCTATGAATTTAGATGGATTGAAGTTTAATGGCAGTAAAAATTATTAATTGACTTTTAAATAGACACAATTAGCCAGTAGTTAAACTAAATGATAGTCAATTAAAGCCCTTGACCATCTCGGAGAGCCTCTGTTTAAGCCCAAGCTTGCCATGCATTTTAAACAGTCCTCTGATTTGGCCACTTAGAAGCACAATTTTAACACATCATTGGAAGAATGCTAAGAGGTAAGCATAGAGAGAGGAACATTAACAATTTACAAAACAGGAAGGGAAAAAATATAATGGTTGAATGTTGCCCAGGGTAAAAGTTGAGGCTATCTGCTGTATACAGTATGGGTAGTGGTAAGTCATAACTAAGAAACGCTGCAGGGACCTGACTAGGTCTTGATGGCTCCAAGCCTTTTCACACCATGTTGTCTTATCAGGCCAATTGGCTCATCCATTGTGGATAGAGGGGTGTAGACTGCTGCAGGGTATTCTGTCTAGGAGCTGTCCATGGTCCTGATTGGCTCACCAGGGTGCACTGTCTTCTGTAGGCCACACACAGCTTCAGCAACCTACAACATACCCGCATCACATATACAGTGCATTCGGAAAGTATTCAGACCCCTTCCCTTTTTCCACATTTTGTTTTACGTAACAGCCTAATTCTAAAATTGATTAAATAAATACAAATCCTCATCAATCTACACACAATACCCCATAATGACCCTTTGCTATGAGACTCGAAATTAAGCTCAGGTGCATCCTGTTTCCATTGATCATCCTTGAGAGGTTTCTACAACTTGATTGGAGTCCACCTGTGGTAAATTCAATTGATTGGACATGATTTGGAAAGGCACACACCTGTTTATATTAGGTCCCACAGTTGACAGTGCATGTCAGAGCAAAAACCAAGCCATGAGGTCGAAGGAATTGTCCATGGAGCTCTGAGACAGGATTGTGTCGAGGCACAGATCTGGGGAATGGTACCAAAAAAATGTCTGCAGCATTGAAGGTCCCCAAGAACACAGTGGCCTCCATCGTTCTTAAATGGAAAAGTTTGGAACCACCAAGACTCTTCCTAGAGCTGGCCGCCCAGCCAAACTGAGCAATCGGGGGAGAAGGGCCTTGGTCAGGGAGGTGACCAAGAATCCGA